CCTGACCTTTCCTGCAACAGGAAATGTTTTAGTGTGACATTAAATACGGTGTATGCTGATCTAGAGTTGCACAGTTTGACTTTACCAAGTGGTTACAGAGTGTGTGCCGGATAGAAATAGTCGTGTTTGGTCACCTGCAAAGACTAGTATTAGACTCTTGCTCCATGAGACTTGGGCCATAAACTGTTTTTCTAACCTGACCCTCAGGTAAAGACAAAATTTTCTCTTTTAGATGCACCATCTAAACATAGATGTATCATCTTTTAAATAAAAGCCTAGTTCACACACTTCCTGTGTCTTTCTTAAGGTTTTGGAGGAAACAACGAACAAACTCTCAGTTTATGTTTCTCTAACTTAAAGTGCAAACACTGGTTACTCCTGCTATGACTCTTGACAGATCTCTCTTTGTTTCTTATATATGCTGCTGTTTATATCACAGCTATGTCTGCAACACACACACTCTCTCTCTTTTATTTCCTATATGAAGAAAGGGAGGTGGGCTTCAGGAAGGGGTTGTTTTCACTCTACCAAGGGAATAAGGAGGCACAGAGGGCGTGGTGTGCTGCAGTCAGTGTTTTATGAAGGTATATGATACAAAAAGGCTTTCATGAAGGTGCTTTGAAAAGAAAAAAATCACATTAAGTGTCAAACCTCTACTACTGATTCAGAAAAAAACATAATCACTTCCTAATAGTTATAATATATTTCTAAGCACCTTCCAAAAAAGCCAGGGTCACTTCACACAGCAAGTACAAAATGAAAGTAGAATGAAAAGTTAAAATGCAAAATAGAGTCATCATAAATACTTAAACAGAGTTCTTGAACTTGGTATTCATTTCAAGATTTGGTATTGCAGATATATATCATTATGAGCGGTTTGAGGTAAATATAGGAGGGCAGGAAGTTTTGTTCATACAGATTGTTTGCAAGATCTTGAAGTAAATTTGCGATGTAATGAAGTTTGAATGGACAGGAGTAACTAGTAGAAGATGTTCTGGTAGCAAAAGTTGCTACCAGAACAACTTTTCTGGTAGCAACTCAGAAAACACTTCTGAGTGTCAACTCAGAAGTGTTTTCAGTTTCTTTGGAAAAAGATTTAGGTGGACCAAAATGTCCACCTAAAAGGTGGTCCCAAACCTTTTTATTATCGTGGACCGGTCAAAACTTGGAAATTTTGCTGCAGCCTGGTGGAGGGGGGCGTGAACCGTCAGATAAGGCTTCTGCATGTTGTTGTTCTCGCTAAATTCTGAATATAACCAATTTGGGTTGTCTTGGCCTTTTTTATCGCAGCCTGTGGGGTTTTCCTTGACTGGGAACAAGAACACAACCTGCTGAATGTGACAGGTAGCCAATCAGAAAGCGTGGTGACGTAAGAACAGAGGGGAATCCCAAACAGCTCACATATCGCGCAACTGTGAGTCCGGTGGATATCGGAGATGATATGTGGAAATGTTTATTATTTTATGTAAAGGTCGTTATTATATATGTTTATTCAGTTAAAAATGTTAACTATGAAAAAACATAACTCACCTCCAAATCATAGTGCAGCAAATAGAGCGGCTGCTCCCGTTGTCTTTTATCCACCGCCTTTTATTTTTGTTACGTCTTTTATCTTTTAAAATGACTCCACAAACTTTCACTATTGCTTCTACATCGTCATCCGTGTTTGGTTATTCTAAATTCTCGCTATGTTGGGGGTTTTGTGGATTTTCTTCTGGAATCGCGATGTTTGTGACTGGAATCGGTTCGTGTTGCTCCTGCCTTGGACACACAAACCGATCGAAACTGTTGTACTTTTATCAGCTCTGTGGTCACAGAGGTTTGGAGAATCGGCCAACAATTCTTAAATCTTGCCGTCTAAACCAGACTTAAGACTCACAAGCTCATCTCATCTCATCTCGACCACTGCCCAAACGCTCTGACTCTGGTCGCTATGGTAACTTTTACATATCCCTTCAAAATAAGATACAGATGCGCCACAAAAACGAGCATTTTACTTTTGTGAAAATTTTAGCTCATGATAAAGACTAACAGGAGCCCTGAGCTTGTTTCTCTGCAACGAGACGGTCCCATCTGGGAGTGATGGAGACAATGACACCTGAAGTGTTGCTTATATGCACTGCGTGCTGGGTCTCTACATGGTGAAGCAGTTTGAAGGCTTCATTGCCTCATTAGCGAGCCGGTTGTTGACATATCGCAACCAGCTATATGTTGCGACCGGCTATATGTCGCAACATATAGCCGGTCCAAGCCGCTCTGCCGCATCTTACGCAGAGCGGGCTTGTAATGTGGGAGTCACCTACCGGTCCGGGATAAATCCATTCTCCTTGTCTCTTCTCTGGGCCTTTTCCCCTTTGCAAAGAAACTTTCCAAAGACACCTGATCTGTTTCTTACTCATTTTGCTGCTTGTGGGCTCAGTGTTGGCGCGCAAGTAACCGAGAGAATCCGGTTAAAGGATTTTCAAAATAAAAAATCCTCCTGACTCAAATAATACATAAAATAAGCTTATATTAATATTTAATTATTTCTTGCGCGGCCTGGAACCAATTGGTCCACGGACCGGTACCGGTCCACTGACCGGGGGTTGGGGACCACTGCTCTAATGCAAAAAAGGGGGAGAATAAGACCAGACGAAAAGTGTTAAATATTGTCAAGAGGGCTTTGGGGTGATTTGGGCTGGCCTTTATAAACGGCACACAGGGACAGTCTAGGGCAGGGGTGTCCAAACTTTTTGCAAAGGGGGCCAGATTTGGTGTGTTAAAAATGTAGGGGGCCGACATTGGCGGACGTTCTTTACATGGAACAGCAATATATTTAAACACATTTCAGCAAGCCATTCTGTTTTACATTTGCTTTTTATTTTAATTTCAGCGATCTTAAGCATGTCTATAGGTTCATTTGAAACATGCATATCATATGCAATTGAATATTCACTTAACTTCACTTTTTTAACACTAACTTTTTTCTAACGATAATTACAGAATTTTTAAATAAAATAACAGAAAAATGAGCAAGTAATAGTCATATCAACAAGTGCAGGGCTCATTTCAAATATGACATATTAGTAAATGTTGATTAGATTTTTAAAAGTTTATTATTCTGGAGTGAAAACTGAAAACTTGTCTGAATTTATGACTGATTTTGATCTTAAAAAACAAAATTTATTCAGAGACTTATTGTAAATGACTTGCTGCATTAATGTGATACTGAGGTCTGGACTGCAGCACATAGGCCAGGTCTAGCTCAAAGGCAGTGGTACTGATGTGCAAGAATGTCTCGTAAGTGAGAGTTATTTAAGTTCACAACCGAGAATGTCTTATCACAAAGACGTGGACTAGGGTTGCAACCCGTACCGTATTGAACCGAAACGAAACGCGATTTGCTCCGTTTTCTACAAATGTTTATGTATAATAAAGAAGTGGTCCCCGAGTACTTTATATAGTCGGCTGCCCCAGTCATTGTTTCACTCACGGTGTTGCGATATTGCGTCCAACTGCCGCAGTCGCACCCCCCTCCCCACCCCACAAGACTAGGACGACGCGTCCCTTATTTTGATTTCTGACAGGTGGCAACCCTAACGTCGGCCCAAACAAGCTTAGCATTTTCTTACCAAACCGAATCTCTCGAAACCTGTCCTTATCCAGCTGTCGGTAAAAGTTCGCAAGAGAAAGCTGCTGGTGCCAACCTGCTGGCGGCTCTCTGCGTCACTCTGCAGCTCAATGAGCTCCAGCTGCAAATGGTCTGAGTCACAGGGCTGCTGCCCTCTAGTGGTTAAATGAGGAACAGCATTTAGTGTGTAAGCTCCGCCCTATGCAGGTAACAGTACTGCTGCCCAATGTATTAATGCTACGTGTGGGCCAGACGTTATTGATTTTATGACAGAGGCTGCGGGCCGGATGAAATTTGACCACGGGCCGCATTTGGCCCCCGGGCCGGACTTTGGACATGTCTGGTCTAGGGCCTGTAGTTTATAGGCATTTTTTTGTTTTGTTTTGTTTTGTTTTTTTACAAATCCATGTTTTGCAAAAATTGTACTCTACATAAAACTTAACACACATCAAGTGAGGTGTTTTGATAATGTTAGATTTTTTAAATATAAACAATACAAGTAAATAAATCAGTAAAATCTGAACGTTGTAAAGTTAGAGTACATCTTTTTGGGATCAACATGTAGACATCTACCAAACCTTTTAGGCCAAAAATGCATTAATTCACACCTACTGATGTGTTGGTCCACCTATCAGTGAACTGTCATTTGCATGAGTATGAAACAGATTTGGTACCAGAACCAGAACAGATCCAACCCACATCCTTCTAAATCCGATCCGGCTTAATACAAAACCTTGAGGAACACCTGTGGTGTCTGATCTCAATGTATAGCTGGTAGGCACAAACCTACCAGCTGAGGTTTGTGCCAGTCATTCATAAATTGCATGTCCAGTAGCAAGTAATGGGAGGAAATGTCAAAGCTCAAAGTCACACTAACAAAGATGATAATGGTTCTTTCATCAGCTGCCATTAGGACGTATTTGTAGATCTTAACTGAACCTGGAATTGTTGATAGAGCTGTTCAGATGTCTTTATTTATTCTGGTCAGAACTAAAGACATGAAACAACAAGAATTTAATAAAATGAAGCCTAGGGATAAATTCAAACTGGAACATGTCTATAATCTTCATACGCAGTGGCTCATTCTCTCTGGCAGCAGTTACCAACGCCAAAGATTTTCTCAATTAAACTTTCTAATACCACACTCTTTCTGTGTGAGTCTTTCCAGGTTGAACTGCAGTCATGTCACTAAAACTTTCCAAGAAGAAATCAGTGTGGAAGAAAACCTGAACAATAAATGGAGGCCAACTATAGCCCCTACAAATATGTCTTCAGTAAACAATAATGGAATAAAGCTAATTGTTCCCGTCATTCTGCTTCACTATAAACGACTGTAGCTACATCATAAATTCAGGGCATCTTTCATGCGTCTCCCACTTTCTGGGACTAGGACCGTCTGTTCTTCGTAATGGAGTACGTTAACGGAGGCGACCTGATGTTCCAAATCCAGCGGTCTAGGAAGTTTGATGAGGCGCGCTCCCGATTCTACGCCGCCGAGGTCACGTCTGCGCTGATGTTCCTGCACCGGCATGGAGTCGTTTACAGGTAGGAGCCACGGCTTTCGACATGCTTTGACCGCAGCTTGTTGAGAAGTTTGGTCTCTGGTTGGCTATATCTCTTTCTTTTTTCTCTCTCCCCTCTGCTGTCATTTGATATTCTGTGAAGTTTGATGCTTATTTGATTTAATGCCACCAACTATGATCTGCATTATGGAAGAATTCCTCTTTAAAGGATTTCTCTGGAGATGTGAAGTAAATTGTGCCATTTGGCAAACTTGAGTATTGCAGCTTATACATATGTTTCATATGTTTGTATTTTCCATCATAAATAAGAATTCTTCTTATTTATGATAGAATAAATTGTTCCATCCAAGTTAGAGGCATTTTTTATGCCTCTAACTTAGAAGCTGCTTGTAATTATGCCTCAGTGATTACTTTCACTTTTGATAACATCAGATGTTCTAAATAAATGATTATTCTTTCAAGAATTGATTTCATAAACACCAACTAAACAAAACTGCAGTGGTGGGCACATTTCCGTTGATCCGCTAATGTGCTAGTAACAGAGGTTTTAGCTTAACACTTTTGCTAACTTTGGAAACATTTAGTGCACTTAGCTTCCCCTAAATAATTTTTCTGGATAAATTTGAAAGCGATAATTTTCTTGGGCGTTTGGTAATCTTCTGGCTGAATAAACTTTGACATCTGTGTTGAAGTTTTGGTCATCGACTGTTATGAATTCTTCAAATAATCTGTTCATTTTCATGCTTTAATTTTGGGATTGTTTAAGCAGTAACTTCACTACCTCTCCTTTCTCTTTTTTTCAATAACCATTTATATAAACAAGAAACATACTGGAGCAAAGTAAAACGCAGACAACAGAGAACAAGGTACAAATAGAAATATAATATCTAAGAGAATTCTAAAACAGTAGAACTAAAATTTATGCTTTGTGCTGTAGGATTTGTGCAACTAACATTTTAGCTAGCTGTGTCCACTGTTGCAAAACTGAACAGTCACTTATAAACATAACATAAATGCTCTACAACAGATCAGAGAGTCAGAACTCCAACACAGCATGAATAAAGATACGAGACTCCTAACAGACAAATCCTCCATCACGGTCAAGAATGCCATGACAATGGCAGTTTAGAAAGTCACAGTGGTTTGAGACATGATCAGAAATTAGGAGCTAATTATGCTGATTTCATCAGTCTCTGCTTCAATAGTAAATATAATATAAATTTAACACCTTTCAAATGTAAAATTTTAAGCACAGAAAATGTGACCTAATCTGAGGCTTTGCTTGTTTGACGTCATTCTGGGACGAGGAGCTAAAGCTAAATTTTTTCCTGTGAAAACATGAAAGTGACGGATCTTGATGGTTGAGCTAACAATGGTCTGGCTGGAGACGTCACCATGACTCCAGCAGGAAGTTGTGTGATGTTATTTTATCATGTCTGTTGTTGGCCTTTCATGGTGTGCTCTGGAGTTCAGTCACAGTGACATGTTTCTAAATATTTTCTCCAGTTATGAAATTTTTACTTTATGACCTTTTTGGATCTGCGTGTCAAGATTTCCTCACTGTGCTTTTGTTTCATGCGTCATCTGTCTGTGCAGACCCCTCAGCCATAATATCATTGTCAACTGACTGCAAACACATAGGTGTTTGCAGTCTATGCTCACAAAAGCAAGCATAACACCATTGTGGCAGACAGATGATCAGTTTCATTTCCAAAAATATCTGCAGGAAGAAAAGGGACTTTACCTTTTGTGTTCTTTTTTCCCCTAACATATTTAATTTGGTGTTTTTGTGTATGTGACCTTGTGTTTTCCTTGCACTTTTTTTTTAAAGAGGCTTTTTGTATTTGATAGATGGCTTAACTTGAGACTTTTTCTCAAAATCAGTTTTTCAATAAAAATATCATCTCCTGCTATAAATTAACCCTAACCCAAATATCTTAAAATGTCCTCCCTACACTTTGGAAGCCAATAATCACTTAAAGTATGATTACACACCCTTCAAGTATTTTCCTCTGTAAAGTGTGTAAATGTTTCCAAATGGCTAAGGTTGACATTACATTCCATACAAATGATCTTAAACACTCAGGTGAGAACATTTTAGCAAAATATAATCACCAGACAATATTCTTAATGTTGACAGAAAATGCTGCAGCAGCTGAACTATCATTAAACTTTGGTTGGTTTTCTAGTCAAGCTGGATGCCAGTGATGTCTGTAATTTCACTCTACAAGAAAATAAAAAAAAAACAGCTTGATAAGCCTTTACATGAAGATATTGAAGATTTTAAGAACTATGTTTAAAAAATAAAAGCACCACCTTAAACCAGTGCTAACCTCTTAAAGGATTTATAAATAGTACCCCAAACTAAGAAAGATATATCTGTATAGAAGGTGAGTAAACAATTACAATTGATTTTTAATACATTAATCCACAATACCTGTTGTCTTTGAACTGTACTTTTTGGTCTGATCATAATTGTTACGTAAGCAGATGCTGATCATCCTCTGTGTGAATCTGAGGTCACAGCAGTGACGACTGACACTGAGCTTTGAGTCTGTAGTGAGCTTCACAGTAAGCAGAGACATTCGACAGCCAACTGTGATGTTTGAGAGGACCATTAATAAAGCACTATGAAATATCAATGTTTTTTTGTTTTTTTTACACTGATTCAAACATCAAGACTAAGAAGTTATAATCTGGTGGACTGGGTATATATCTGCAAGGTTTCATGATTGATGCTACCATGACCAGGGAAGCAAATGGTGACAACAACAATCATATTCTTATGAATTAATACATTTACCATTTAATGTTCCTATTTGATCAGCAAATCTTTCCACATGGGAATCATTCTAAGTAGTAACAACACTGGCGTTCGCATCTGATGCTTTTCAGAAAGCCCATTACAAAGACGCTAAAGCAAACAGACCTTTACTCTAACGCCTTTGAATCAATTGAAAATCTAAAATGCCTATTACTGTGTTTTTCTGTAGAACACAACTTCAAATTATTCAAGGAAATTTTGACTATTAGTTTTTTTTGTAGCAGTCGAAGGCTTAGCAGCATCCGTTAAAGGGACCTGCCAATATCCCTTGCACAGGTCTAAAGTACTTATATATTTAGCCTGGCCAACACATTTAATGAGGTCATCCAACCTTGGTAATGGGTAAGCATCAAAGTCTGATTGAGCATTTACCTTTCTAAAGTCAATGCAAAAACGGATACTCCCATCTTTCTTGATCACCAAAACCACTGGGTTGCTCCATGGTGGATGATTCAATCACGCCCAGCTTCAACATGACCTCAATTTCCTCCTTTAACACAGGAGACATCTTCTCTGGGATACGATACATTCGCTGTCGAATGGAAACACTGGTCTTCAGACAAATATCTTGTTCCACCAAGTTTGGTTGTTCTTTGAAAAGATCTGAAGGAATAATTGCCTCCAACTCCTGTTGCTGGGTGAGAGTGAAATAACAGAGTATTTTACAGATGGTAACTCACCCTCATCATCTTCCTCTTGCACAGCACGCACAAAGCACTGCTGACTAAGGGGTGGAGCCCAGGATTTCCATTCCTTAAGCAGATTGATAT